ATATAACTATGCGCTAAATTTGAGTACATGATATTGGATTTGCTATGCTTTATTGTAAACAAATCGGTTCCAACGTTCGTTGGACCTATACAATAACTTGGATAAGACTCCTCTGTCTCGTCAACTCGACTATAGCAGAAAAGTAAACATTTCAATTTCAATTTCTATTTAAAAAATCGTGTTACGAAGAATGATTTCTATACATCGTGCAAGACTTTATAATTTTCACCAAGAAGAGATAAAAATTCTTCATCAACGTAGATCCTAAATTCGATACATTCGATGGAAAATTTATTTTCATATTTGCGAGAATTCGATAAATAAAAAAATTTATTTGAATTTTTTTCCGTTTGAAATTACTCGTCAATGATAGTAATATCCGTTACACTGATACTATGGTGCGTGTGTGATATATTTATACCATGAAAGATAAAGAAAATATATCACATAACTTTTGCAAATGTCAATAAAAATTTTTCTGTTTTACATCGACAGAATTGACTTTAAAACTTATGTTAAGTACTCCCTTTTCTTTTTGACAAACCCTATAAATATTTAAAGTCTTAAATTCTCTCTTTACTATTCATATATCTCTATCTGTGGAGAAAATGATAATTAAAAGTAAAAAGTCCGTAAATAATAAATATGAATAATATATGAATTTTTCTGAATTTATTTGTCACCTTTTATAGTCTTTAGACTTTTTTTTATGAAAATGCTGAATAAGAGGTAACAAAGAAACAATAATCCTATACAAGAGGTCCTTTGGGATATTTCTATCATCTACCACTCTTCTAATATTTCCACAAAATCTATCTTATTAAAGAAATAAATTACGGTTGTCAAATTATTATCGTACATGAGTTATAATTTACCATCTTTTAACGTCTACACCATTCCCACATATCAATAATAAATCATCTTTTCCTTACAAATTTATTTTCATTTCACGTTTGTCATTTGCATCACGCATTTGCATCCTAACATGTAAAATATATTCCATAGTTAAAACCTTCGTTCAAAATTTATACCAATGTTACAATGAATACTAATGAATGTTAATCTTCGGTACATCGATATCCACTCTGTTCAATATCATTGCATTCACAATGTATTACTCCTATTAGTCAAGGTGTTGCTACTTGTTTCGTAGCAAGGAGAACATCGAATATATTAGCTAGAATATATTTTCCGCTTAAATAGTTGAAATTTGTCATTCCAGCTATACTTTAACACAGGATATAAAATGACAACAAGAAAATCATTACGAAGTTGTAGCGGCGAAATATGTAAATGAAAAAGCAAATGACATTTGATCATGATATAGAGGTGTTCGAATTGCAAAGCCGGTCAATAAAATGATCCGGTAAAGCTGTTCGATATCGAAGCAATTGCTTAATTAATTGCGAGTGATACGTGTGCCAGGGTAAATCGGAGAGCGCGCTTCGAAGTGGCTGAAGAAGATAAAGTGACGCAAGTTCGTAGACCAGATATACGCGAGCAGCCTTATAATTCATGACACAGAGATGCCAGGCTGCCAATCCTATCTCGGGTAGCCATCTAGCAAACGTCCCCCTACATGTCACACGATCCACTTTTTTTACGAGCATATTAACTCGCGAGTAGAGTATCTGAAAATATAGCCACGTGTACGTATTACGTGTCCATCCAGAAATAAACCTACCTTCGTACCTGTCTTGAATACTTCTTTCCTTTTTACCTTCTTTCCTTCTTTCCTTCTGCGGGTGTCATTGATCAGTAGCATGCGTTCTGTTACACATCCCTATACGAAGTTGACGTATTGGCAGCCGTGTGTCTCATTAAGCATCGGAACGAACTGGTCGAAGAGATACGAGTTAAAAATGTCAAACGGACCAATGTATAAGAAATTGTGGATATGTAACAGGATATTTATGATGTTTTCGTTAATAGATAACGATAGAAGGTCGATTATTCGAATTAATTGAGAGACAAATCCCGGTTTTAGATCATCGGTTTTTTGAATAATAGAATAGCCGAAAAGAAGCAAATTTTTAATTATGTCATGTCAACTAAAAATTAAAAAATTGATTTTAAAATATCAATATTTTTTTTATATGAGAAAGCACATTTCTTATAAGAGAAATGCAGGATATTTTAACGTTTGCAAAATCATGAATTTCATGATGATGCTATAGTAAAATTTTATAAGTATGCATTAACCTTCGCATGACGGACCATAGTGGCCGGTGACCTGGTCTCGCTTGACCCAACATCTATATACATATACAAGGTGTTCCAGCAACGGTAGTACAACCAGGAAGGGGATGATTTTACGTGCAGAAACGAATCGAAAAAAAAAGAATAAAATTTTTTGATTCGAAGCTTCGTTTTCGAGAAAATCAACTTTGAATATTCACCGAGTGCACGTGCACGTAGCTATTATAGCTTATATGAACAGACCATCAATATATGAGTATCGGTGGTACAATTTAGGAAGGAGTGATTCTACATGAAAGAACAGATCAAAAATAAAGAATAAAATTTTTTCATTCGAAGCTTCGTTGTCGAGAAAATCGACTTTAAATATTCACTGATTGTGAGTGCGCGTGCACTTAACTGTGACTAATTGTAAGGCGGATATACCATCTGTATATCAGCGTATTCGATGGATATTCAAAGTCGATTTTCTTGACAACGAAACTTCAAATAAAAAAATTTTATTCTTTATATTGGATTCGTTTCTGCATGTAAAATCACCCTCTACCATTGCTGAAACACCCTGTATATACCTCACGATTCTTTAATTGAAAAATCAAATTAATAGTAATCCATTCGTAATCTTTTTAGAGTGAGCACGGTACAAAACATATATTGAATTGTTCATAATTTCGTATGAATGAATATGGTCAAGGAGAAGCCTGATAATGATTTGTTACGTAGCCTTTTACTCTTCGCCCAATAGAAAAACTCCAGATTGTTGGTTGGCAAAGGTTATGTTAACTAAAAAGTTATATACATCATTAACAACCGCATCTGTATTAACACAATTTCAATTTTATGTCAAATTTGCTTTACTCCGTATTAATATTGTCCTACTTTATATGTTGAATTTATAGGAAACCACGTATATTCGAATTTTTTAAAATATCAACTTCTTTGTAATTTGTTGATCACGGTACGTAATTGGGCATCATAATTACTTATTGAATTGTTGATACTATATATTTAATGAACATGAATTTATATTATATATAATTTCATTATATACAGTACATTAATTAATTAATACCTTTCATTGTACATTATTCATATTATTTCATGTTTCATACATACAATATTAAAATGTATAAACATTAAACATTATAACATAAATCTTAATTTCATAGTATATAATATATAAAATGATGTTATACATAATACTGCAATATACATACATATAATATATACAGGATGAGTCTATGATCTAGTAAATGAGGATGATCTAGTAAATAAACCAGATCCTATTCCCATTTCTATTGAAGATGTAGAGAAAATTTTGTATTATTGAACAAGCTCTATTATTGTATAGTGCAACATTTTCCAGAAGTGCATTTGTTTTTTAAATGGCAGACTACTATTTTTTGTGCAATTCAATTCTTTATGAAATTCTGCATAAAAAGATATTAAGGTATGATGAAAAAGCTAATAATTTTGTTAACATTTATAATAAATGTTCAAATATTTCAGCATTACATACTATGAATTTTCACCATGAATTTTTTTTTCTAAAATTTCATTTCGAATCTTTAAAAATTTATTCTTTAGATGATGTTATTCATGTATATTAAAGCATCTAATAAATACTCATTGAAGTGTCTCATTACATGCGTATCATCAATGGGTATCTCGCTCCTTTGCTTTTCCAGCAACAATGATACTTTATCTCATAGAAAAAATCTTTGATTACTAGGTGATATATCTAAAATGCATTTATAAAAATTTAGTGAAATATATTCATCACTATTTCTATACTTGAAAGATTGAATCATTGAAGAACTGCTAAGCAAACTCATTTGAAGCTTTATAAAAATTAAAACCTATTTACCAATAATATTATTATGCAAGACATGATATCAATAAATATTACATAATGTTGATTAGCCAATAGTAAATTTTAAAGTTTTTATAATTTGAGCAATTTTATAATGAACACGTATATAGAGTTCTTTTATCTATTTGCCCTCCTAAACATATTACGTTGATTAAGCATCAATTTTCTTAGACATATTATATATTTTAATCTGCTTAAAATATTCCTTCTCCTCAATTCTTTTTATACGTGTACTATCAAATTAATGTCTGTCACTATAATAGAATTTTCAATAAATTTTTATTCTGTATAAAACAAATCTTTCATCTCTTATGATCATTTATAAAAATTTATATTTTTCATATTTATTTATGATATATACCAGAGTTTGATTTATAAAATTGCTTAAAGTTAACAATAAGAAACAAACCAACATATTAATTGAACTTCTCTTAATATAATTTAAATAAAAGTTTTTCATTAAGAGTGTAAGTATATATGTAAATTCTTTTCTCTAATGTTTTTGTTATTTTGTTACCATACCTATTTTATATTTTATAATAAAGTATCAATATCAATATAGATTAAAAATTAAATTTTAGAATATTTTGAAGAACATGATAATAATGTTAATTAAATTATAGAAAATATGTGTAATTGCAAAAATACAAAATTACGTGTATTTTAAATCATTTCACAATTTAGTTACAATTATATTTTAGCAATTCTTTTTAAAATATTTTACGAAGCTGCGTAGAATTTTTTCCTTAATATAAATAAATAGCAATTAAACAAAACGATTAAATCAAGAATTTTAGTTTAAAAATTTTTTTTTACTGATTAATGTGCTGTCATAGAAACTTTTATTAATCTTTCTTACTTATTTTCTTTCTCGAACATGATTTCAAACTGCGCCATCATGTGGCATACGTAAGAATTAATATACCGATACAATATTGCTCTTAACTTTATATGTGTCAACGGCAATTGGAAGAATAAATACGAATTTAATTTTGAAAAAAGTAAATTTTCGTATCATAATATTATACGAATGTCTGGCTATACGGGATCAGAAAATTATTGGGGACAATCTCCCCAAGGCCAAAATAATTTTGATTCCTTCGCTTTTGGACAACCTAACCCTCAATTCGAGTTCCAGACATATAATGATCAACAGTTTGCAGGTTATTCTTCTTACTCGACAAAAGGTTATCTCGGTTCTACTCAAAGTGCATTTACTGGTGGTACGTACGTGTAAAATAATTAAAAAATAATTAAAATATTTATATGTAAATCTATATTTTACATTAGTTTAAATAACTTTATATTCTATTCGATGTGACAATTTTAGGAGCTACTGGGTTCGTAGATGAAGAAGAAGAAGAACCACCTCTCTTAGAAGAATTAGGCATAGATCCAAATCGAATATTACAAAAAACATTAGCTGTATTAAATCCATTTCACAGGAAAAGACAAATAGATGATCCAAATTATTTACTTCAAGATTCAGATTTAGCAGGTCCAGTAGCGTTTTGTTTACTACTTGCTGTATTTCTTCTATTAGCTGGTTCAAAAGTACATTTTGGTCATATCTACGGCTTAGCTATGACATCATGTATTTTGATGTATATTCTTCAGTCGCTAATGAGCAGTTCTAATAATATTACATTGTCCTGTGTAGCATCTATATTAGGTTACTGTTTATTACCCATAGTAATTCTTGCTGGTGTTAGTATTTTTATAAGTCTACGGGGCACAATTGGTTTAGTTCTTGCTATAATAGCAGTTGCTTGGTCAATGCTTTCTGCATCTAGGCTACTTACTACTATGTCAGGAGAAGAAAATCAACAACTTCTTATCATCTATCCTTGCGCTCTCCTTTATGGTGTTTTTACATTGATTGTAATATTTTAGTAAAATATACATAATTTTAAAAACTATTCATGTAAAGGTTCTTATTTTTATTATATACTTGATGTTACATAAGGATATTTGTGGTTATATTATTTATACAATATAACTATAATATTAACTATTAAACATTACTGAAAATTGAAACTTACTTAAATTATCACTAGTACCTTTTGCCAATGTATAACATGAATTTATATAGTACTAAGGTTATTTATGCATATATGTATTAAATTTCTCAATGTATTAGTCTAAATTAACTAATTATTTTGTAAGCTATAAATAAATTGTACAACAATGAACCATTGTTCTCATTTTTTATATTATTGAATATCATACAGGATATTCTATGCTAATTCTATTACTTGTATATCTAAATATTTGAAATTTGTATGACATTTAAGTTCATTATAAACCAAATAAAATTGAAGACATTAAGTCATATTTTATTTTTATTATAAATTTAATATAAAAGTGCAGCTTCATAAAGAGATGATATTCGTTATTAACATTTATAACAATTACTTTTCACTAATTAATTTGCATCACAAAGATTATTGGTTATTTATTAATATTTTAATAATTTATTAAATTTTTGCAATACAGTTTTTTTGTTTTGCTTAAGAATATAATGAAATTTCAATCCAAAAGATGTTGTAATAAAGGAGATAGCAGAATTAATAGCTCAATTTTATACTAAAATTATGCAATTACCATATAGAAATTAAATACATGAACTTCTTTGAAGTTTCGTTTTAATAATAAAAAATAGATCCTTTAAATTATGTTTTTATTTCAGAAATCATTTTAGCAATATAACAATAAGAAATATATTTTTATTTTGTAAATTTATTAAAATTTATTAGATTTAAATTTATAAAAACTTAATGATAATATGTCTATTCATTCTTAATTAACAGCCATTCTACAATTGCAGCCTAAACATGACAGCAAAAACCTCAATGTGCTCTAAGTTAAACAATAGATATAGATAGATAGTAGATATTAATATTTGTATTGTTATAATAAGTTATGTAATAAATTGTTGTGTTTATTAATATTAATATATAATGTCATTGTAGAATTATATTAATAACAAAGTTGCTAAGTTTTACATTTAATAAGAAATTATTAAGGTCTCAATGATAAATTAAAAATTATTCTTATTATCTCCTTATGGCATTCTTATTTTTATTAATTTTATTCATCCCAATTCACTTATTACTTAACCAATATTATTTGTTTTACGTACAATATTATTTGACTACAAACTCTGTTAAATGTGACACAATATAAGAAAAGTATACTGAGGATGTATTAAATTACAAATATGTCTCGCGTTAGTATTATTTCGTTTTAATTTAGTACTCTCAGTCTGGTATTCCCCATTAAACTAACAATTACCATCCCAAATTAATTTAACGGATAGTTATTAGAGTATTCTTTTTACTACTGGATAAGTGCAGAAGCACATATCAGCAAAAAATGTAGATCCAATGATGAACATGTGTGTGAAGAATTAAAACTATACCTTCAATACTTTAATGCATGGTTTATCATAGATGACACTTTTTTGAGGCCTCTTTTCACATGAAACACAATTTTATTTTTCGACAATTCTTTTACTTCTGTTGTTTAGAATTTCGATAATAGAGGTACAGATAATCGCGGTTCTACTGCATATGTGTATAGACCATATGAAACTTTTTATGCAGTTAATAGTAAAATATTTTCAATTTCAGTTAATTACAGAAATTCGTTAATTTTGATTTACAAATTATAAATTATAATAATGCTTTACGATTTAATACTAAGAGAAAAAATAAACAATCAAATCATCTGATTAATTTCATCTTGAACTTAAAAGGCGCGTCATTTAAAGCTTCTTATTTGAAGAGAAATGACACAAATCATTGAGACATTATTGAAACATGTAATCTACGGCGTGTTATAGTAAAACACGCTAAAGAATCGGAATACCAGACCTGCGATAAATATGTCCACTGGCGACAACATTTAGAGGGTTCACGTCCTGATTCGTTTGACTTTACCTCACTTGACAGATACTCGACAGATAGACGACTACCAAAACCTGTCAGAATTTGCTCATCCCTTAAGTAACAACCTATTGAGATAAAATTTCCTTCTTTAAGTTCAAAATTCTTTTCCCTATAGAGAAACACTCCAAGGGCATATCTAGATATTCAGAACCCATCGATCGACAGAATTATACAGAATTCAATTGACTACAAAACAAGGTAGAATTATATAGAACTTAATAGACCACAGAACAAGACAGAATCATACAGATCGATGATCGACGAGACAGAATCGACCGTGGAATCAGAAAGGACGCCATCAACAGCAGAACTAGACATACTCTACAGACCTCGACAAATCAGAGATCACTCAATTTTAATCAAGCCTGAATGACTAACAATAAGTCCATTAGTTATGAGAATAGGGACGCAACAGACATTATGTAATTAATAACAAACTAGTTCTACTACATAGATTACATATGAACAAGTTTACAGTAATAACGAAGGGTTTCTGAACAATTTCTTTGAATATCATATAATTTGTACATGTATATAATCACGTAGCAAACATCCAAATGAAATTAAAATAATTGGTTTTAGGCTTTTTAGTTTTCATTTTTATAGTCACTGAAAATGTGCAACTGCTTTTGGCAAAATTAATATTAACTTTTATTACATATGTTTATTTATTTTCTACATATCATTACAATACCATTTTAATTATTATTATTTATGTATACTATATTTAGGTATTATAGATCGGTAATTCTAATGTTAATAGTAATATTGGTGTTTAATCGTAATGTAAATATAAATGCCACTGATTCAACACCAGTATGCAGGACAAAACCAGTTTATGTAGCGTCAAGCGACAAATCATGTGGACTGTTTTCCTTCACAAATTGTAACACTCACATTAATCAAACGCACAATTTTATCTCGATTGATTGCGAAATTAATATTGGACTTATTTCAACGAATATAAAGAAAACAGATGATAATGAGAATTTTTCCTGAAAGATAGAAATAAAAAATGGATTAACGTCACATAATTTTTCAACGGTCTCGATACTATCCACTAAAGACTATGCACACTATCAGTATCAAGACTATCTAGATCAATTTCCGTTATTCAATCATCAAGTTCAATAACGTGAACCTTGTTTTTTAACCCATTACTTGAACTTTAAATCTTTTGATGTTTAATTAAAAATCTGTTTTGGGTTCATGTTTGATACATTCTTACTCTGGAACCTGTTACAACACATGTAACATAAGAACTCGCTAGCTTTAGTCGTTACAGTCAGTAATTTAATCGTTTTGATTAATTAATTACTTTGATTTTTAGCCATTTTACTTCTAACGTGTTTTCCCTAATTAGATAATGACATTAACTAAGTAGATGAACAAATTTGGCAATAATACATCATTAACTTCAGGTTTCCACGATTAACAAATCTGGTTCTAGTTGAACCGTTATAAACATTTTCTCTTTTTACATTGCAAAAATGGTAAATTTAAAAGATGAGCTTAAGTTATTGAAAATGATATACGATCAAAATTAACTGAAAATAATAATTAAAACTAGAATCTTTAAATAATCATATATTGTACTGATCTTCATTTAAAGATAATCGATATACTCGAATGTGTCACACTATAAATGATTATGATAATATTTTTAAAATATTTACTATTAGCTATTAATTGGCTAAGTACCTCTAATGAAAAAAATGGCAATTTCGTATTTTGCAGGCCTTCCATCTGATCCAGCACAAGTTCAACAACCTATTTTAGTTTGCACAGCACACATCCATTGGGATCCAGAATTTTGCGATGTTAAGTTAATACAAACAATGATGCTCAGTAATGAATTACGTTCCATTTTGGACCAAGCTGGCCAGTCTTTTAGACCTGGTCACAAGCCCGACTCTTCCAATGTTCAGTTGTTACTTTGTGGCGATTTCAATTCCTTGCCTGATTCTGGTAAGTCATTAAATACTTCATATAAAAATGATCAAATAAAGAGTTATAAATTATTGTCTGAAATCGTGGCAGATATTGACTCCTTTGCTTCTTTTTAAATTGAATAAAATAGCTAATAATTTGGCATACAATATTTTTCTTTGACGATTACGAAGAAAACGAAAGGCACATACCGTAACTTTTTTCATGGAATGGCATAAATTTTTTAATCCTTTGCATTCGGCAATTTTTTCGTCACAGGAAAATAGTAATTCGAAGACTTTTTGCCATAAAGTGGACAATATTTTTAAAACGGCAAGTAAGAAATCGTATACAAAGTAAGACGTGGAATTATTTTATTTCGACATTCCACGCATCGTTCGAAAATTTCAAATTTTATATGTTAATTAATATTGATCTTTATAATATGATTAAGTGGCGACTGAGGGTTGCCTCTCGAATGCAAAGGATCAATTAATTTTTGTCCAGTATAATGGCATTTACGTGGCAACCGTTTTTTAAAATAAAAAAACAAATTTTAGTAAAATTTGGTTTACATCAAAGATTAATCCTCTTATACTACTTAATTTAAAACAGCATTATAATTAATATCTGCAATGAATTCGAAAAAAACGATTATTGTTTAGTAACGTATAATTATTAATATTTCGAAGTACTACTAAATTCTATATTTATAAACATATTTCGATTTTATTTCGATTACTATATTATTTATTCATTATATTTTTCTACAGACCTCGACAAATCAGAGATCACTCAATTTTAATCAAGCCTGAATGACTAACAATAAGTCCATTAGTTATGAGAATAGGGACGCAACAGACATTATGTAATTAATAACAAACTAGTTCTACTACATAGATTACATATGAACAAGTTTACAGTAATAACGAAGGGTTTCTGAACAATTTCTTTGAATATCATATAATTTGTACATGTATATAATCACGTAGCAAACATCCAAATGAAATTAAAATAATTGGTTTTAGGCTTTTTAGTTTTCATTTTTATAGTCACTGAAAATGTGCAACTGCTTTTGGCAAAATTAATATTAACTTTTATTACATATGTTTATTTATTTTCTACATATCATTACAATACCATTTTAATTATTATTATTTATGTATACTATATTTAGGTATTATAGATCGGTAATTCTAATGTTAATAGTAATATTGGTGTTTAATCGTAATGTAAATATAAATGCCACTGATTCAACACCAGTATGCAGGACAAAACCAGTTTATGTAGCGTCAAGCGACAAATCATGTGGACTGTTTTCCTTCACAAATTGTAACACTCACATTAATCAAACGCACAATTTTATCTCGATTGATTGCGAAATTAATATTGGACTTATTTCAACGAATATAAAGAAAACAGATGATAATGAGAATTTTTCCTGAAAGATAGAAATAAAAAATGGATTAACGTCACATAATTTTTCAACGGTCTCGATACTATCCACTAAAGACTATGCACACTATCAGTATCAAGACTATCTAGATCAATTTCCGTTATTCAATCATCAAGTTCAATAACGTGAACCTTGTTTTTTAACCCATTACTTGAACTTTAAATCTTTTGATGTTTAATTAAAAATCTGTTTTGGGTTCATGTTTGATACATTCTTACTCTGGAACCTGTTACAACACATGTAACATAAGAACTCGCTAGCTTTAGTCGTTACAGTCAGTAATTTAATCGTTTTGATTAATTAATTACTTTGATTTTTAGCCATTTTACTTCTAACGTGTTTTCCCTAATTAGATAATGACATTAACTAAGTAGATGAACAAATTTGGCAATAATACATCATTAACTTCAGGTTTCCACGATTAACAAATCTGGTTCTAGTTGAACCGTTATAAACATTTTCTCTTTTTACATTGCAAAAATGGTAAATTTAAAAGATGAGCTTAAGTTATTGAAAATGATATACGATCAAAATTAACTGAAAATAATAATTAAAACTAGAATCTTTAAATAATCATATATTGTACTGATCTTCATTTAAAGATAATCGATATACTCGAATGTGTCACACTATAAATGATTATGATAATATTTTTAAAATATTTACTATTAGCTATTAATTGGCTAAGTACCTCTAATGAAAAAAATGGCAATTTCGTATTTTGCAGGCCTTCCATCTGATCCAGCACAAGTTCAACAACCTATTTTAGTTTGCACAGCACACATCCATTGGGATCCAGAATTTTGCGATGTTAAGTTAATACAAACAATGATGCTCAGTAATGAATTACGTTCCATTTTGGACCAAGCTGGCCAGTCTTTTAGACCTGGTCACAAGCCCGACTCTTCCAATGTTCAGTTGTTACTTTGTGGCGATTTCAATTCCTTGCCTGATTCTGGTAAGTCATTAAATACTTCATATAAAAATGATCAAATAAAGAGTTATAAATTATTGTCTGAAATCGTGGCAGATATTGACTCCTTTGCTTCTTTTTAAATTGAATAAAATAGCTAATAATTTGGCATACAATATTTTTCTTTGACGATTACGAAGAAAACGAAAGGCACATACCGTAACTTTTTTCATGGAATGGCATAAATTTTTTAATCCTTTGCATTCGGCAATTTTTTCGTCACAGGAAAATAGTAATTCGAAGACTTTTTGCCATAAAGTGGACAATATTTTTAAAACGGCAAGTAAGAAATCGTATACAAAGTAAGACGTGGAATTATTTTATTTCGACATTCCACGCATCGTTCGAAAATTTCAAATTTTATATGTTAATTAATATTGATCTTTATAATATGATTAAGTGGCGACTGAGGGTTGCCTCTCGAATGCAAAGGATCAATTAATTTTTGTCCAGTATAATGGCATTTACGTGGCAACCGTTTTTTAAAATAAAAAAACAAATTTTAGTAAAATTTGGTTTACATCAAAGATTAATCCTCTTATACTACTTAATTTAAAACAGCATTATAATTAATATCTGCAATGAATTCGAAAAAAACGATTATTGTTTAGTAACGTATAATTATTAATATTTCGAAGTACTACTAAATTCTATATTTATAAACATATTTCGATTTTATTTCGATTACTATATTATTTATTCATTATATTTATATATAATAATACATAAAAGTATTGAAAACACGAAATCAAATTAATTAATAGCTAATTTATAAATACAATAATAATTATATTAATAATACTAATATAACATATCCCAATATAAAAATACTGCTTGAAATAATTTCTTTCCGTGTTTTACATTGCACTTAACAGAATGAAAAATAAAAGATGAGAGATAAAAAAATAGAATAAATTTTGTTTTATCTTTCAAAAATAATTTTGAAAAGTAAATTATTTTGGAGGAAATGCATGCTTGTAATAAGTTACAAAATATCTTTAAAAGTCGTAACAATTTTAAAATCTCATTATCTAAATATCTAAATTTATATAACTAATAATTTATTCATATTATTACATTAAATTTCCACTTACAGTTATTAGCATTTGTTTATTATCATTTGTTATTTACTAAGATTTTTATTAACCTTTACTAATAAAGCTTCATATAATAAAGTATTTTGTATATATAACAATAAAATTTAATAATCATCTCTTTAAAAATATTGTTTTCAATTCAATTATTATTATTATCGTTTCCAGTTTAAAAATATTATTTTATTCCGTTATGTGCATTATAGTTTTGTATTTTTAAAAAATAAAATAATATCCATTAAACTTTATTTTAAATAATTACTAATTCGTCTCTTAATACAAACAATAAATAAGTCAAAATTTCTACTATAATAGAAATATATACTATACTTTATTTGTTCACCACATAATTATTAATATTTATATTTTATATATTTATTTTTAATATATTTTTAAATATTTGTTTAGGTGTAATTGAATTTCTTACGTCGGGGCGAGTAGCGGCTGATCACCGTGACTTTAAAGACTTAGCTTACAAATCATGCTTACAAAAGATCTCTGGTTGCGATAAACCTAATGAATTTACTCATTCTTTTAAACTTGCATCTGCATATAGCGAAGATATCATGCCCTATACTAATTATACGTAAGTTTTATCTATATTTTATGTTAATAAATATTGTATATATTTTGTTGTTGTTTTATATAAAATAAAAAATAAAAATTTACTTTTCTTTTTCAAACTTTACAGATTCGAATTCAAAGGTATAATAGATTACATTTTTTACTCGAAACAAAGTATGGTACCATTGGGACTTTTAGGTCCTCTAAGTGCAGATTGGTTTAAAGAACATAAAGTAGTTGGTTGTCCACATCCACATGTTCCATCTGGTAAGATTATTTTAATAAATAATAGGAAAGAAGGTGTAACTTTTATAACATCTTATATATAAAAAAAACTTGACAATATTTTTCTAAAAAATATTGAATTTAGAAATTAAATAATAATTCTCTTTTACTTTCAGATCATTTCCCCCTACTAGTAGAGCTTGAAATGACACCAACAGTAGGAACAAGTAATGGATTGATCTCACGCAGGTAGCAACCGCTGCGATCTAGGCCCAAATAACTATAAGGGAATGATAAAGGATAATAAAAAAGAAATCCCCATCACATTTTTTCTTACTTCTGGCTCTAGCAATATCACTCGCAGTCGACAGTTACTTCAATAGCGAATGTTACAAATACTCCATATTACCGCACATTCAACAAGTTATTAGATATTGACGAATAATTCTAATGACCAGGTGAAGGGAGGTGTGTTGTAATGCGTTTAGCCCATGTATAGTGTATTGCATTTTTAAGAACTAACTTTCTTATATTAAGAGTATTTTAACCTTACCATCGTAATATGTAGATACCTATTTTCCTACAAAAAGATATTCCGATCAAGCCTCTGTGATATTCACATTAACAATTGGAACAATTTTACATATTTATTAACAAATTAGTATCTACTAGAAAATCCCTAATCTCTTCCTAAATGTCATTACAACATTCTCCAAGCCAACTTTTTGATAAGAATGCTGCCATCCAATGAGAAATTGTATTTTTAAACAAAACAAAAACAAAAAATATGAAAACATACACACTATACTGGGCTGTGCGAAGTGATTGGAGTTAACTTAACAATTTCAATGCAAGTACAAATCTGTTCTTATTGGCCACGTATATTGAGAATGATAATGTTATATAAGAAAATAGATAATATTGTAGCGAGTGTATTTGTAAGTATAATAATGTAATGATATTCATCATTCATAATATCCTGAAGATCAGTTGACATTCACTCATTAGATGTTCAGTTCTAATTATTATTATAAATAACAATACTAATTTACTACTTGTTAATTCAGTTGCATTTAATCCAAATTGTACAGCGAAACTTATTTATTTTTTATCTTCCTTCATATTTTGTTCTTTGCCTACTTAAAATTTTCAGTTTAGAAGCATTATTATTTTAAAAACAACAATTTTTTAACTTGTTATCAATAATTCTATTAAATATTTACGACTTTTATTTGCTATAATTCAATGCAACAACAAAGACATACGAATCTTTATCAATTTATTTTCCATCCAACCTTTATATCTATAAGGAAGATGTATACAATCTCATTTATAATGAACATAATATTTTACTATGGCATAGTAAATTTTATTGTTCTACTTTGCACTAAAGATGACATAATACATTTCTAAGCATTTTAAGAATATTTTGTTAGATTTTAAATAATAATAGAAGAGTGCAATTGAAACTTTTTCCTATTAAGATATTGTATGCAATAGATGATATTATCATAAAAAACATAGAAATTTATTATTTTTAATTAATTCGATTACTAATTATTATAAATATATGCAATAAATCTCGAAGTTTTGATATTTCCCTGATATTTTTAATTTTTTCTTTAAAATCCATTTACTTTTACTTTTTATTTCACAGAAGAAGGCATATATATATATGAAAAACACTAATTGAACATACTTCAACCTCAAAAATAATAAAGGTTGCTTACATGTACCTAAATACCTGTTAGCATTTATAATAACTAGTGTTCCTACACATTTTGTAAACAAAACGGCACTATTGATATATTACATAGTTTTCATAGTAATAACTATCAAATAGACTTGTCTAATATTTCACATTTGATAAAAACAACTGAATTATACAAGTAGTATGTAATTAGTTTAACAAAGACATGTGTGTAGTAAATGTTGTATAAAGTAGGTAATTACAATATAGTTTTAATTAATGAAGATAGAAGTGGCAATCCCTATTTGTATATGCATTCACAAATAAACACATGATAATTGAACATACACACAAATATACTAAGATAATTATTCATAATTTCAGGCCTGCATTGTAATTTGTCTTGTTTGAAAATTCTTAAATTTAATTTAAATATTATAACTTATCTTAATATTAATGAGGCAAATAACATTTGATATTAATACTTCTGAAAACAAAATTCTTTTAATAACATCAGTGCTGGATATGTTTGAACTGCATATATTTTTCTTTGATTTAATAAGTAAAGTGAATCGTAAAATTGAGATGGGTTATAATGCTTTGGTTGAAGATGAATAAAGAAAATAATTGTGAAGCGAAAACTTTAATGATATAAAAACCTCTATTTACTTATAACTTCACTTTTTTCATAACTATAACGATGCATTTACAAAATGTAAATACATTTTTTTAAATGAAATTATATATCTTTCTATACAGATTAGTACCTCATAATATTTTACTTAAAAATGTATAAAATATAATGTTATCAAAATTAATGCTCTTTGAGATGTTTCAAATTTTGAAAATGTTCAAATGTTCCATCTTCATCTAGTAAGAACTTCATAAATCATTTCCTTATATTTTTCATAACAATTAACATAGCTATTGACTCTGTTTGAACATTGTAATCTAATTAATTTTTTTAAGTCTTCCAAAAAACAAATAGATACAAGTATATATTACTTTTGAGGTAACTCCATTAAAAATGTTGAGAGTAGTTACTTTTAATAAATATAGTTTACCATAGTATTGCAGTCCACATATTGTGTTCTAAATCATAAATAAAATTAGAAAAATCTAAAAGATGTTGGTATAGTTTACTATTTATGTAGTATGTCATCAAAGATAAAATACGGACCAATAGTAGTAGCATGTAAAATATGCTACAAGACATTAATATTTAAATGTATTTGGTTGTTCATACTTTCTCAAAATCCTAGATTTTCTATATCTAATATGTACTCGTTATACCTGTTGAACATTCCATTATTTATAAATGTACATTCACCTATTTATATTTTTCACGAAGTGATATTTATATCATTTTTTATATAACAGAATTGAATGCATTATACTTCATAACCTTGGTGTAAAGTATATACAACAAAAAATTGATGTACGTAAAATTTCTGCAGTTTCAAAATTATTTCAACAAAGGTGTAACTATAGTATTGCATTCACTAGATATTTATTTTATTAAAGCTTGTAGATTAAGCACAACATATATAAGTTAAAACAAGTTATCTAATATTATCATTATTTGCAACCAATCTTGGTAAACCTGTGCTAAGTCTCGAAAGTAATTGCAAATAGAATCTCAATTAATAATTAATTTTTTTTTTATTTACTATCCTCAAGCAGTCAAATGTCATTGGACGTTACATGTTTACGTTTGTGCGCAAATACATATAAGTAATATTTATAAAACAACTTCGAACAAAAATAATGTATCAAAAATTTGAAGTATCTCATGAAACATTGAATTTTTAACATTGTATGTTAATACCTTTTTACGTAGACTATTTTGAGGAATCGATTTGCATAAAAAGAAGTATGAAAATTTTATTTAATATAAAGGTAGATTTATATTTTTCAGGTGTATCATTGCACTTTAAAAAAGATAAAGTTATAAGAAAATAGATCTTTCGACACTAATTAAGTTTTTCTGTTACAATATTTTTCTATCTCTAACCAAACTTGAGGTATAATTTGTTTCAATTGTATAGCTCATCTTGAATTATAATTTTGAACTTTTTATTATTTGTTAAATAGTATAAACTTTTTTGTAATGAAATAAAATTTTGTAAAATAACTATTAAATTTCAAGTAATATAAAACATTAAGTAATAGTTGAATATTTTTAATTAAAAAGATACCTGTGTCTTTTATCTGAAACAAAATCAGTAATACAGTATTTTTTATAGTATTTGATATTTCCAAATCATAAATTTTCATTACAAACATAATCAAAATACTTTATTTCAAATAATTATTTTAATGTTCAGACATATAACAAAGTTAATATTGGGTATTTTTTTAAGTTTCTATGTATAATTTGTAAAGTATATTTCAGTAACAAGATATACTTTTTTATGAAGTTAATTAAAATATTTTAATCTGTGAATAACCAATTATATTTTACTATAGAAATATTAGAACAAGACAGAAAAACAGTACATATTATTTGATTGTTAAATTAAAATGTCAATTGAACAAATATGTAATATCTTTTAGTTTAGTAATGATGAAAGCATTAAATATCAACATGTGTTTTCATGTATTTTGGCTGACACAAAGCTTATACAAAATAATATGCAAAATAGTTTTGTTAAATAGAAGCTCGGAAAGATTAATAATTAATGTCACATTCTAACTTAGAGTATACGTATGTACTTCATTTTGAGTACTATGACTCTCAAGACAATATATGAATTAAATTATATGCAATATTAATACTATGAAAATATACATTAGTAACTAAAAAGAAAAAAGAATATCAAAAGATTAAATGTAAATTTTTAATTGGCTGGCTCATAACAACTGTAAAATATATACAATCTATGTTATTAATCAGAAATTTATATAATCCAAATTAATATTTAACTTTGTTACTACTTGTGATAAATTGAGGGTTGCTGTTCTTTAATATAATAACATCATTTTTATTAGTGCATATTCATATAAATTGGAATACAAAATATGTTGAAGAAAACAATGAAAGCTTCCTACTTCTTATTTCAAAGATACATAATTTTCAGACAATAATTTTCTTTATTGTCTAATAAAGATAGCAGCACTTTTACAATGATCATTTATAAAGTTTTAAACAGTTCGATGAATTCTTATAAAAATTTAATAGTTCATTTTTATATGTACAATTAATATTCGTATATGAAATTTATAAATGTTACTCTACTGCTATAATACAAAATTTATATGTTGTCATACTCTATACATTATCAGAGTATCAAAATTTTTAATAATTTAAATATATATAATTTAGTTAAATGTAACAGTATTAGTAATTGATACATGTGATAGAAAATGATACACACAGAATTTAAAGCAATCAACAAACAGTCTACAATTCATATTAATTTGTTTATCAATATTTTTTAATATTTCATTTCAATATAAATAAAATAATTAGTATGAAACAATAGATTTTCCATCTGTTTCCTTCTATTAAAACAGAAGGTGTACAACTCTAGTCAACTAGTGCTGTATTAACATTAGGTTATTACAGATTTTAATTAATATTTCTTTATATCTGTATTTATAGAATTGATTATAAATTAATGTATCATTTAGAAGATGATGGTTACATAAGTATGACAATAAATGGAGTACTTAGATAGAATTAAACAGCCATTTAGATAAACATTTATTTTTAATGAATACAAATTTTACATCTTTAAAGTTATTTAACTAATGAATGAAATATTAATTAATTTCGATTTATTTAAAACAT